AGGAGTATTTTAAATTTGTCACCAGATTGACCTTGCACGTGATTGGTTGAATGCGAGGAAGGTTCACACACAGGCAATTTTGAATTTGAAGGTTAGGTTATTGACAATTCGACAGTTTCGTGTCATTATTGTAAATTTTGTGTTCTTAAACCCTTCTTTATTATATTTTGAAATAAATACACTCATGACTTCAATGTTAATTTGTATGTTTAGTGTTGACGATAACAAACGAAAATAAATACAATAATAAGTAAATAAATAAATAATAATAATTATTAATTTAAATTTACCGCCAAAATATCTAGTGATATTTTCTGGTGATTTTTCCTAGTGTAAATCTGACTTTCGCGTTTACTCCTCCTGGTTTATAAACAGAGTATAGTATATATTAACTAATGCTAATAATTTGACATCCAATGATAACTGCAATGACAGGTTTTGTAAACTTATCTCTTTAATATCATTAAACGTCAATTTAATTTTAATTGCGGTAGAAGGTCCTCTTAGCGAAAACATAAGCGGGCTTAAACTGAACTGCACCACAATAAGAACACTGCCTGACAAATCTTGATAAAAATGACAAGGAAAATTTAATAACTAAGGAATAAGTTAAAACATTTTATTTTCAACATATTAATAATTTACCATATTCTTAAATTGTATGTTTTAAGCTTCAATTTGATCCTTAATTCCTATAAATAATAGATGATGCTGGTGTGTGTTCTAGACTGGATGTCGCGTCTTTATTTCTTTATCTAAATAAAATAAAGGCGTGACGTCCTGTCTGGGACACATACCAGCCCGATTGGACGTAGTAGTACAATCAAAATCTTTGTCGACAAAGCTCGACATTAAAGAATAAATATTTTTTTGATATACATACAATTAATAATATAAATGAAACTTTCTGCATATATACAACAACAATTTACTTATATTTGCGATTTGTGAACCACGACTAAAACGAGACCTTATAAATATTTTTCTAAAGGCAGGACGAATAACTTTGTTTCGATTCAGACTCGAGCTTGTGCTTTAAGGGCTTAAAAACGTAGTTCTGTATCAACTTATGAGTTAATCTGTCAAATGAGTAAACACTTAACCTGAACACATATCTTTTTATGTGTTATTTATATCAAATACCGTTATGTAATTAAAATTCTTAACCAGTAAGAAGCGACTATTGGAAGAAAACCATATTTGCTTCTTCCAACGTAAAAAAAACAATTTTGAAGAACCAAATTTTTCGCAAGAATATTAGTGACATAGTTTGTAATAAGAATAAATGTTTCATATTTCATATAAATATTTTTGGTGTGGTGGCGATAATAGTAGGACATAAAATTATTACTCCATATATACTATATTTATTTCGACAGTTCATCTAGATAGAGAGTTGTTATCACAAATCTATATGTGGCAGTTTTAAATTTGGCATTCAAAGCAAGCTCACCGCAGCGACAAATAATATCGACGATAATTTGAATAAATTTTAATAATATATTAATGTCGATTCAAAAAAACAGAAAGTCAAGGTTTATTATAACTTGTATATTAAATTATTAATTATTAAAAACTGAAATTGATTCCTGACCTTTGATTATATGTTTAAACTTCCATATTCATGACGCTTACAGTGGGTATTAGTAACCTATATTACTTATTCAAAACTAATTAAGATTTTGACAACCAAGTGGAGTTAAAAAATCATTACCCTGTGTGATTTTCTGGGAGAAATAAACATCTACAAAATTCTTATTGCAGCGGCCAATCTTTCTTAATTTACGCACAACAAATCTGTAAATAAAGATGATGAAATTTTGCACCATTAATTATAACTGATTGTAATGGTAGAAACTAACAACTGAAGGAGTATATAGCCGTTTTCAAATATACATAACTTTGTCGAATATTAAAGAAAGTCAAAGCATCGGAAACCGAAAGGCAGAAGGGAGCAGGAGGCCTTTTATAGTAACTACCTACCGAGAAAATAAAAGCTCTCACCGTCTTTACCTCGTTGATGGATGGAATTGGAACTTTACCCTCAAGTAAACCAAAGATTGCAAAGGGAAACCTAAGCAATGAGATAGATAAACTCTGAATTCTGAAATCTCATTAACTAAACAATATGCGTTAACCAGAATCTTTCAAGCAGTTGAAGAAACGGTTTTAAATCAGCAATATGTAGTCATATTATATCTAGCTCTAGCCAGAGCTGCTCAACTCTAAGGACAAGTAGAACACCAAATAACTTACATGTTTATGTTGAACATAAAAATCAACTCAAGTACTCCTAGATAGTTCAGCTGACTTAAATAAGCTATAGTCATTTACATGAAGATGTTGATCAGCAATGCATGCGTTCAATTTAGTTTCCAAGACAACAAGCACATCATAATCAAAAAGCAATAGGTAGTCCTCCAGTTGTTTGTATACTAGATCTTTAAAAAATATATAATTTATCAATGTGAGTCGAGCACTATCCAGATAGAACTGTCGAAATGAAATAAACGAAATTATGTTTACAATATAAATAATATGTAGTGTCGTTCAATCCTCGTTTGGAACTAAGTAGGATTGAAATAAGTTTTCCTTTCTTTTTCTTTATTTTACAGAAATGGCATTTTCCATTTCGAGTTCAACCCCGTCCATAATTTCCGATTATTCTGATCAAACGACCAAATTAGAAGTTAGTAAAAATGGCGGGGAGAAAAATACTATTGACATTTCAATAACAACCGAATTAAATAATAAAAATAATCAAAATCAACCAACCTTACAAGCAAAGCATCAAGTTTTACCCTTTGTATATATTCAAACGCCAAAAATACAACAAACCCAAACCGCGAATAAACCGAACATTTTAGTAAATACAATTCCACAGTTGCAACTGCAAAACATCAATAATATCAATAATAAATCGAATATTGCGTTGCAAGGTAATCAAGGTGTTATTTTAACAAAACCACAGCAATTGGTTTTTCAAAAACCCTCAGGTGGCGTGGATGGAGTACCACTTTTTACAATGATCAAACCATTATATAATAAAGACACAAAAACGAATTTAAAATTGACTAAAGTAAAATCAGAAAATTTAAAATTATGTACTAACACGGCTACGATTAATACTAACGGTCATAAATTTGTGTTAGCTCCAATGCCAAAAGTATCGTCAAATAGGCTGCCCGTTACTGCAACCACAAATACAGTACAACCAAAAATTGCCATTATGCCATATCAAGTCCAAAACACCACAAACTATAAAAGCAAGTTACTCAATTTTAAATTAACCGAAAACGATAACAACACGATCACAGTTTTGTGCGACCAATCGGAAAAGAAAGACGAAAATATTGTGAAAACTAAAGATGAACAGAATGTTATAGCGAATAAAACCAACGACAAATCCTATCAATTGTCGATTGTGGAAGATTCCAAAGACGTGAGTTATACGGTAACGATACCCGAAGAATCCGAAAAACATAAATCGACATCAAAAGATAACACCAACACTTCATCGAAATATTCGAAACATGGCGTGTCCATATTAAAAAGGAATTTTAATTTGTTAGAGAAACCGAGAAATAATTTAATAATTACACCTGTTATTAATTCAATTACGACAATATCAGATGCGAATACAAAAGAAGTGAAAATTACGAACACTTTTGACGCTATAGATAATCGCGATTTAACTCCAGCTGTTACAAATCCTATTAAATCAGAAGGAAGAAGAAGAAAATCACAATTTTTATGTCGAAAAGAATACGATGACATGACAACCACGGAACCCGAAATTAAACCAAAAATACCTAAATTGAGCAATAATGATGACGATATCCAATTAATGATATGCGAAGATGAAGATAAAGATAATAAAGAGCTTATGGATGTTGTTAAGAAAGATGAATCCTACGAAGAATATGATGCTGTTAAAGAATTAATTTGGGAGGATGGAATTGGAACTTTACCTGGATCGAATTTAAAATTTCAAATCAACGAATTTAATTTGTTAGAGTTTTTAACTGACGAAGAATATAAAAATATTATCTTAAAAAAAGACAAATCAAAACCAAAAACAGAATTGAAAAAGTCGGACATTGAAGAAATTAGATGTTTACATTGCGGCTGTTTTGGAATGCTTTCAGATTTTGTTAGCTCAAATCACTGTAGTTACGATTGTTTATCGGCTACTGAAAAAGAAAAGAAGGATAAAGAAACGAAATTTAAAAGAAAACGAAAAAAAGGACCCTATGTGAAAAAAATCGATGATAATCAAAGTAAAGAAAAAGAATTATCGGGAAGTGATGAAGACACTTCAAATGATAATTCCCAAGATAAATTTAATTATCCGTGGACTTGTAGTAAGAAAGGGTTTTCATGGGCGAAATATTTAATGCATGTAGGTGCTAAAGGAGCTCCCGTCAAATTATTTAAAGATCCGTTTCCTTACGCTCGAAATAGTTTTCGACCGGGTATGAAATTGGAAGGAATCGATCCGCAACATCCGTCTTATTTTTGTATACTTACCGTTGCCGAAGTAATCGGATATCGAATGCGATTACATTTCGACGGATATCCGGACAATTACGACTTTTGGACTAACGCGGACAGTATGAACATTTTTCCCGCAGGTTGGTGCGAAAAATATGGTCACACTTTACATCCACCACCGCGGTTAACCGAAGAATTTAATTGGAACAATTATCTTAAAATAACGCGATCAACAGCTGCACCTAAACAATTATTTTCTAATCGAGTAGGAAATGTAAGAATATATTTATTTATTTTTAAATAGTATTAATTTATTTTATTGAAATTTTAGGCAATCTGTCCGAATGGATTTCGAATAGGAATGAAATTAGAAGCTGTCGATAGAAAAAACACTGCCTTAGTTTGTGTAGCTACAGTTACAGATATGATGGATAATAGAATTTTAGTTCATTTTGATAGTTGGGATGATATTTATGATTATTGGGCCGATCCAACTTCACCTTATATTCATCCAATAGGTTGGTGTGATCAAAATGGACACAATCTTACACCTCCAAATGGTAATAATAAGAAACTAAAGAAGTTTTATTAACAAATACAGAGAATTAACATTTAAATATATTTTTTTTAATGTAGAAATCATAACAACAAATTCTTTTTTTTATAACAGTTACTAAAAATATCAAAATGTTATGAACTAATTAATAAACATTAATTTCACTGTCATAATTTAAGAATTATGCGAGCGAAATATTCTAGAACAGACATAAATATTTCTAAACATATTCTAATAACATTATAACAGGTGGTTAACAAAAATAGACTATATAAATTGATCAAGAATTATCTATGTTAATGTTGAAGTAACTGTTTTGAATGTATAGTTTTGTATAAGTGTCAGAATAATATTAATATCTCTTCCTCATTATGTCTTTCAAAATTATGAAAACTCAGTAGAGCTCCTGCAAGAGATACATGTCTCATAAAGAACATCAGCGTTGTTTCTATATATGTTTTTGCATGCGAGTGCAAAAGAGTGCGCGGCTTGCCTCACATATCCCGCGCAAATATTCTTTGGTATGTCCAAACTTGTGCGTGGCAGAATTGTATTCTTTGCTGCCACACACTTGCCGCTATGTTTAGACACACATTAAGAACAAACATCTAAGTCGTCATCCGATTTTTGCGGTTACAACCGTCATCAATCTTTTCCCTTTCAATATAGGAGGGGCAGTTTTCTTGTTAGCCTTGTATCTTCCCTTAGCGAAGACATCGTTTTAATAGATATGGCGCAAAGAATAGCTATGATGCATTCCAGCCACTCAGAGAAATTTTATGGTTTTCCCATCTCACGAGAAATAACAGATACCATAGCGGTCTGGATATTAAAACATGACATATTGCCTCAGAAACATCCCAGAGCGTGACATCCAGCTCTTCATTACAATTTTGTTGACTTTCTTATTTTTACCTATCCACTATACTTCAATTGTTGTCTTCTGTTTTTGTTTTAGATGTACAGGTGTCATAAATATGATGTTATGACAGGCTATCTCAGAATCTAAAAGAGATAAACACAAGTAGCTTACATGTGATCTTGTTTTACGAGTAAATGCTAATGCAGAAAACTCTAAACCGCTATCGTCTTGTTTTTGCGCTATCAAAAAAAAGAAAATTTTCGAAATTTCGCGAAAACGACAAACATGAATATCTCGCTTATTACCAAAGGTGGAGTAACATAGCAAAAATACAAAAAGTTGTAAATAGTTGCAAAAAGCAATTATAAGGCGATAGCAAAAAACCAGAGCGTTTAGAGTTTTTGGCGTTTATTGGACACCTGTACAGCCAGGTTACCTGAATTCTGATTCTCATAAGTGGTGTTGCATCTTGATCTTTAGTGTATTCTGTATCTTTGAATTTGAACTTCAATCTTTTTGCTTCCAACATTTTTGTTTTGTTTGTCGAATCTCTGCCATTGTTGCTTAATGCAGGTTGTTTATAAGAGATGTGGGATAGACTATTGGTATTTTGTGGATAAATATGCTCTCACATTCAGAACTGTATATTTACTAATGTACATACGTAGAGCAACTTTATACATTGTAGACAGCATCAAGTCCAGACTAAATCATTTTGTATTTTGTTCATCTTAGACATAGCTTGTTTGAATAGCGTTCTTCTTCCTCAACCTGTATTCATCCACGGCTGGGCATAGGCCTTTTCCAAATGTCTCCATTTTTTCTGTCTTGATGTTTTTATCTATTCTTTCCCCGCCCACTCTTCATGTCAGCAATCCATCTCTTTTGTGGTCTTCCTGATATCTTCTAGATTCTCGTGGTCTCCAAAACGTTATTCTTTGTGTCCATTTTTCTGTGTTTTCTCTTGCCACTCGACTCTCGACATCTATCATTTCTGTTCTTCTGCGAATGTTGCTATTTCGAATCTTGTCTCTCAGAATGACTCCCAGCATTACTCGTTCCATTGCTCTTTGGGTTACACTATGTTGTTCTGCAGGTTTTCTTGTCAAGCCTATACTTTCAAGTCCGTATGTCACTGGCAGTATGCAATTATCATACACCTTTCGTTTTAGGCTTTTCCAACGTATAACCATGATATTTGTACTTGCTTGCATTCTCTAAGGAGACGTTGTCAATGGCAATATCATTTTACATGTTGCTCATTACTTCGATTTTATACAGGTTAATTTTGTCTAAACTGACCAGTATCACATCATCTGCGAACCTCAAATGATTCAAGCGTACACCACCCACATTCAGACCCATATTTTCCCAATCAAGTTGTTTAAATACATTTTCCAAGGTGAACAAGTTGGCCGAAATAGTATCACTAATCGTTTCGATTTTCTGCTGCATTATCTCTAATACACATCAATTATTGGTCAAAATAGTCCGTTCAGCCACTTAATTGTAGTTAATAGAGATTAAATAAATAAATTTTCTATGATGTTATTTATTAATACTGTTGTTTTTTATTAGGTTGGCCAAATCCTGAAAATTTTACTTGGGAATCTTACTTAAAAGAAACAAAATGTGTGGCAGCTCCAGCTCGTGCATTCAAACAAAAACCAGCAAATGGTTTCAAAAGAGGAATGAGACTAGAATGTGTGGACAAAAGGGTTCCTCAAATAATTCGCGTAGCGACTGTTGATGACGTACGAGATCATCAAATTCGAATTAGTTTTGATGGTTGGCCAGATCGGTATAGTTATTGGGTTGATGATGATAGTATGGACATCCATCCTGTCGGTTGGTGTCATAAAACAGGTCATCCTTTAGAACCACCACTAAGTAAGTCCGAAAACCTAGATCATTCACCAAATCATGGTCAAACTAAAACCTTCATATATCCTTATTTATTTATATTTATAGCTCCAGATGACGTTTACGATTTCTTAGAATGTCCCACGGTAGGTTGCAGAGGTCAAGGTCATATTCAAGGTCCATCATATCAAACACATTCAAATCAAAAATATTGTCCGTACGCTGATGAAAATATAGATAATATAGAGCATAATTTACCAGATAGATTGTTGAGTCCTGACAGACAATTAGAAGCTGTGGTTCCAGTATCGCGCGAACCAAGAGAAAGAATGTAAGATTCTATTTCGAGTTCTAAACCAATAATTATAATAATATTTTATCAAATGTCTAGAAAACCTCGGGTTGGTCGTCCTCCAAAACAAATTCCAAAGTTAGAACCGATTATTCTAAAACAGGATTCGTCCGAAGAGGAGGATAAAAAACCAATTGAAAAGAAGTTTGTTCGAACTTATTCTAAAGAAGTGGTGAAAGAAGAACCTCCAAGTGTTATAAGAAAAGAACCTGGCGAATTAACGAATGGATTCGTTTCAATTGAAGAACAACAAACATGGGAAAGACATAGTAGATATTTAACTAATTATACTAAAACAGATACAGATCCGAGAGAATGGACGGAAAACGAAGTGGTCGATTTTGTAACGAGTTTACCGAATTGTAGAGAGCATGGTGATATTTTCGGGAAACACAACATCGATGGGGAATCTTTGCTTATGTTGACGCAACAGGATATTGTTGATATTTTACATATTAAGTTAGGTCCGGCGATCAAAATATATAATAGTATTTTACTTTTGCGACAAAACGCAAGATGTTATACGTAGTAATCTTCTTTTTTGTATTTTATTTATATTATTCACTTTTCTTCCATTATTGTGATCATTTTTGGAATGTACATTCAAGTAAAGTAAAAAAAATTTCTATTTAATGTTAATAAGTTGTTTTATTTATAATCTATATTTATCAATGAGCCTCTTAAGATGGAATTAAAACACTTTAAGAACAGACTGTATATCATGGAATTTAATACATCAATTTAGATTATTTAGAACCAATTAGTGTATGATATTTATCAATTTTATTTTAAAATTGGTTCTTAATTAAAAACATATTAGCTTTTGATAAATTTTATTTCTTAAATATTATAAATAAAAAATTATTTGTTTAAAGGTGTAGTAAATACTGTAAATGCACTAATCCACGAATTACAAAGAGTGGAATCTTCCATCATCAATTGCAACTGACATTGATTAGCTTTTTCTAAATTTCCCTCGGCCAAAAATGTACTTAAATTAAAAATATTATTCTGCATCTTTTCGTTAAACTTTCCATCCATCCACATTTGCTTCATCACCTCAAGTTTACTACAAACACCTCCGGTGGAATCTCCAATTAATTTATCTTGAGCTTGATTTATATTTTGTAAAACTCTTTCTAATAATGTTGTGTTGGAAGAGTTTCCATCTGGAACTATAGGAATCATTGGAGGAGTTGGAATACTAGTGTTGGGAGCTGCTTGAGGTGGTAAATTTACTGATTGATTTCCCGACAGTGGAAATGCAATTCTTTTATTTCCAATTCTCGATTTTGGAGGTGGATTTGAAGAATTATAATTTAAAGTAGGTGGATCATTCCAACCTGGATCCGCTTTTGGTCTTGTTATTTCAGACATTTTTACCTATACAATTTTCTAACGTTACAATAACATATTTTTAGAAGAAAATCCTTATTTTATAAAAATCACCAAAATTGACATTTGACATATTAAAACAGCTGTCACATTAGATTACGTCGGCAAAGTAGTTAGTTATTGCTGTCTTTTTATAAAAACATTTTATAATTAAATTGTTGAAGTATATAAAATTAATAAGTTTATTAAATGTATCAATAAATTCTTTAATAATTAATGTTAAAAAACATCTTTTAAAGTAATGTCGATAAAGTAGTTATTAATATTTTGAATAAACATAACCTCGAATATTTGACATATGCATTGAAAAACACTTGAATATTAATTAAAAATTTCAGTGAAATGGAAATATTGGATCAAAACCAAGAAAAAAAACGTATTACAGTTGAACAATTAGACATACAAATATTACCGGTTATTTACGAAATTATTAAAAGGTGCGTAGTTTAAGAGTTTAATTATAGAAATAGAAACAGTTTAATCACAATCTTTCGACTTGTTTCATAATATTATTTTTTTTAGTATTGAAAAAGATCATCACGATAACACCTCGAAAACCAGAGAATCCCAAGATTGTTCCTTGAAAGTTTTAGAATTACAAAAGAGGTTAGATAACGCCAGAGCTCAGGTTGCATAACATTTTAATCTGTTTAATACCAAACTTAATGTAATACATTTTTTTTAGATTAATTCTTTGGCGGGTATAGAATTTAGCAAGGAACAACAACTGAACCACTTGGAGGCTTTAAAAACTCAATTGAGATTAAAACAAGAACTTCTTCATAAATATCGCTATTTGTACCCATTTGGCATGCAAAAATCTTAGACTTCAATAAAAAAGGAAGAATGGTTTTACGTTTTTTAATAAGATACCTTGCTAACAATGAGGAACTTGTTAGGCGTTTAAGTGAATCATATCCGATGCGGCGAGCAGCTAGATTAGTTGTGTATATTATTAATCGTGGTAAATTACTTGCTGAAGAACGAGGGTTACATGATAAACTCGCCCCAGAAGAATTAAAAAAATACGTTAGGCGTTTTTCGAATAATTTAAAAGAAGAAATTGAAAAAGCTAAATCTAAATATGAAAAGAAATAGTTTTTTTAATTTAATTAATTATAAAGTAAAAAGAACTTTGTTATAACAAATTTTTTTGTGATTCTTAATAAAATAATGTTGATTTAAATGTTGTTTTAATAATAATGATACAGTTTTATAGTATGTTTCACCATCCAATTGATGTGGTGAGTTTGTGAGACTTGCAATAATTATTTTTTGTTTATGGTGTACATATTTTAAATTGTAAGCACTACTTTGTGTTTACATGTCAACTTTAGATTAATTTAATTACTTTAACTTTAATTAGGATAGAAGTGGTTTTATTTGGAATATTTCGGCCTTGAAAACGGTTCTTTTTAAATAAGAACCTTCTAAACCTGCCAAATCTGATGAGGTTATGGGTCAAATAATTTTAGTATCAACTAATTGTAGTGGCAAAAGCATATCAGCTAATAAATATACATCATTGTATACTGTGTTTTCCTGTTTTTGCTTATATTAATTCTATGATGCAGTCCTCGTTTCGAAATTAGATGTTGCAACTAGTCGTACACAACTTTTTGAACAACACGGATTTTTTAATCAACAACAGCATGGGAGTTGACAGTGTGATAGGACGTTTAAGCCAGAATTGAAGTGACGAGAATTCAGCCCGCCATTGAAGGCTATCGAAAGTTGGGCAATATTATTTGCAACCAACGAAACAGGGTTTTCTGCAAATGTTAAAGATGTGGTTAATGATGATTCTTTGTGAGGGAGGAATTTATGGACGGCTTTATAAGGAAGCTTTATATTGAACTAAAACTCGAACGAGAACTAGAAACGTTCGGGTTTAGTCGTGAAAAAAACTTTCAGTTGTCAATGTCAACTTTAATTTTATTATTATATTCCTAATCTTCATAAAATAACCTTTAAAGTGAGTCCAAACATGACGCATTTTTATCAAAAAACCAAAAAGTTCGAACTTTCAACTATTAATTTTGACATATTTGTTAACTTCATAAAAAATCATTTAAAATGAGTCCAAACTCGACATATTTAACTTTGATATTAATGGAGATACAATCACTTCCGGTTTGAAACGTCAACGTCAATTTTGACATATTTGTCGTCTTCATTAAAAAACCTTTAAAATGAGTCCAAAGTTGACGTACTTATCTCAAAAAGCAAAAAAGTTAGAATAAAAAACATTAAATCCGAAGTTAGCAACAATGAAGGTAGCAATTTAATTTTTCAATATTAATACCAACCTTAATTTTTGATTTTTTTAAAATATATATTTGTTTTTGTGACAAATATTATCGGAAGTTGCTTATATCTCGAATAACATTGAAATTAAACGTATCATGTTTGGACTCATTTTAAAGGATTTATCACGACGATTACAAATATGTCAAAATTGACGTTGACATTCTTACCCGAAAGTTGACCATAACATCATTAATATTGAAGATAAATATGTCGTGTTTGTACTCATTTTAAAGGATTTTTAATGAAGATTACAAATATGTCAAAATTAAGGTTGACATTTTAAATCTGAAGTTAATTAATATAAAATAGAAGTTTTATAACTGAAGTTAATCTAGTGTTAGTCACTTTTCAGCACTTTCTTTTTATTTGTAACATGTTTTTTGGGTCATTTCACATTGATCAAAAGAAAGTCGTCGAGTTTTAAGCCACATGATGATTTTGTTAAAAAAGAGCGTTCTTAAATTTTACCCTGTAAAGTTGTAACACTTCGTCCTTAATTTCATTTTACAACCTTTTAAACTTTAATTTTGTAAATTAGTAACTAATAATCTGATTTCGACTTTGATATGTGATCTTTTTTAACAAAAGAAAAAGAAATATTAAGAAACTTGTTTGTAAAATGGATAAGATGAGAGATGTTAATCTATTTGTAGAGTCTCTGAAGGTGAACCATTAAATTTTGCAATTGATTCTGAAACTTTGAAATTATTCTCAATGACTCCCTCTCTTATGTCGTTACATCTTAGCATAGGCTCAATTATCTCCCAATCAGCCCTACATAATCTACACATCCTCTCTTCATCCTCCATCCAATATTTATTCGCCCTTTCTTCATTCCCGCACCGAAATCGCGCTATCATACGTTTTTCTTTCCCTCTACCCTCCTCCATCAAATACCCTGGGATTTCCTGCGTTATTATGGTCTTGTTGTCCATACACCCCCACGCCAGTATTAATGTCCCTCCAACATTCTCTCAAAATCTTAAAGTCGCTCCTCTGCTCCAACTCATTCTCGTATTTTATCCCCCTTCTGCCTGATTCCACCCCCATCTTCTCCAGCTTCAATTCTTCTCTCATAATGTATCACGGGGTTTCCCTGGTTAACCCCATGACCCACTTCCAATTTCCAATATCTCTCCTGAATCTCCTCTACCATCCTTCATACATTACCACACTCCTCAACAGATCATCAAACATTATTTTCCGCCTGCACAAATCTTTCCCAAATGTTTGTTCCCCGCCTTTTCTTATATCTTAACAGGTATATGCACGCGGAAGAATTATGTATAGATTACTTTATTACGTTTTATTTTGGTTAAGGTGAAAAAAAACGAAAATTTTTTTAATGTCTTGTTTATTTGGAAGACATTTCTTCTTATTAAAACCAGTATAAATCGATTGAGTATGAATACAATTACTTAGTAAATAATACATAGAGCATTATATTGCATGTTTTTTCTTTAAGCAAACATTTCTATTTTACAAGCTGGAGTTCAACAAGTGTGTACAATTTCGGTCACGTACCATTTCAATATTTTCACTTTTTTCTTTAATATTTACGCATACGAATTCGCAGTCTAATAAAATATTTGAATTTCTTTTTTTTAGGAAATAGATTATTATTAAAGGTTTTTTTTCTTATCATTATTATAATGTATTTATCTCTTCCTTTTAATTTATTAAATATTATCCATAGACTTATTTTCGTACGTAATTTATGTTTATTTTTTTAAAAGAACTTCATATAAAATTCAATTTCTCTATTTGTCTCATCTCAAATTTTTATTATTCTTGTTTTAAATATTAATAGAACACATTTGATTTTCAATAAACTAGTTTCTTTTCTCTTTCTCTCTTGATACAAGTAAAATACAGATGTGGTCAAGTCGTTTAAAATGACGTAGTCTATGTACGATTATTATTAAATTAAAAAATAGTACGTATTGATGTACAATTTGAAATTTTTAGCAACTCAAAGAGTAAAAATTACAGAAGACGACACAATTGAATTCTCGCTCTACAGTTTTTATTATTTTATTATTTTTTCTTTCACAGTTAGTGCGTAAAATGCACTTATCAGTGATGTAAATTGGTAATAATAGTGTTTTCTTCTTTTAATAATTAATAATTGTAATTAATAATAATGAACTATTAAATAATAAAAATCATTACACTAACTAATAACTACTATAATACGTAATATACTATAATATTTACAGGATTTATTTTTTTTGTTTTCTATTTCCTTCATTCTCATTTGATCCGTGTGCTTTAACGCAAGATTTATACCTACCTATTTCTTTTAATTGTATAATTAATTAATTAATCAATTTGTGTAATAAAAAATCACGTATGTACAAAAAACAATTACACGTTTACGAGTCTATACAATGTTTGTATAAACCTGACCGACTTGGCAGTCCGGCATGAATAATAAGCGGTTATGGGAAAGTTGATTTTCTCTACGGCTATGCCCATCACAGTATTTAGCTTTTTCGTATCTTCTAACGCACCTTGGAATTGTCAAGGCCTATGAAATCTATAACAAAAATTAATATGATATAATTTAATTCAATAAAAATTAATTATGTTAATAAAATTATAATTTAACATAAAAAAATATGGGTTGTAAAGCTCATTCTTTAGCCTTTAGTGGTACTTAAATAACATACCTTGTCAAATGTTTACTTTCTTCATGCACCGTCATTTCCGAACTTTTAAATTCATTTAATTCTTTCCTGATAGCAGCTTTGTCTTTTGGTGTTAACCTCGTCCATGGTTTATCCGCCCTTCTATCATAGTCATGAGCTTGCGTTACTTCTATATAATCGTTAAACCGAATGATTTTTTTCTCTTTAAGTTCCTCAACGGTTGGCCTGAAGCTTAATTTTCTTAATAAGAAACGTTTCTTTTCTTCTTTTTGCTTCTTTTCTTCCGCGGGACTTTGTTCTGTAAATGAAAATTAATTAATTTGATAAATATTTAGGTGAATTTAATTACTTTTTAAGATATTTCTTTCTTCTAATTCTTCTTGGGTCGGTCTCATACTTAATCTTCTAATTAATCTTGCTCCAATCGCTTCTTTCGATTCTTGTCGTTCATTTTCCGATTGCATCTGAAGTATGTTTCTGTTAATTAGTTCCTGACGATCCGGTCTCAATGATAATTTTAGGGATAAACTCTCTTTTCTCGCAATTTTTAATGCCTGTCTGTGTTCCTCGGACAACATCTCTTCATCTCTATACAAAACGGGACCGTCATTTGAATCGTTGTCGTCCTCTCTGATTACATACGGACGTGCATTTTCTTTGTTCTCCATAGTACAAGGAAGACCAATTGCAAATTTTCCGGGTTTTCCACTATTACAAAAAAAAAAGACATTTTTTAATCCCATACAAAATGAATTGCGGGAATAAGTTGATAATTACCATATTCTAATCCGAGGCCTCAATTGTGACCTCCTTTTAATTAGTTTGCAAGAGAAAAAAAATTCTTTTCTAGTGAAAGCAAATAAGTTATAATTTTAAAAAACATGTTATTACATCTTAAATTAAAGGTAAAGAGAAAAGATTTGATATCAAACGTTTTTAAAAGCAAACTTTTTTTGTAGGCTAATTTCACTTCATTTTCTTATCATAAAAAAAATGAAAGAATAAATTTGTCAACGATGACAATTAATAAATTTTGGTGAATATAATTTTAAGTAAAAACGGTTTCGGTTTGTGAAAACGAAGAATAGACAAAATTTTTAATATGGTTCTTACTTGAAACTAGAGTTCAGTTCGGTTTGGGTTTGCCGCACGGTCAATGGGCGGTTTTCTTGCGTAGGCGTATTGTGAGGAGTCCCTAGACCGCCAGCCGCCGCTCCCCCCTTTTTCTTCAAGGCCGATTTCAACGGCATCGCGTTGAACTTGGGCTCCTTGGCCGGAATCTCGTCTATCCGCGTGGTATCGATCGTCGGATCCGGTCTGGGCATTCTAAATATGCACATATCCGAATTTTCCAGGTCATCCTCGTTGATTTCGGCGTCTTCCTCATCGTCATCCTGATCTACAAAACAAATTAATCTCTTATTATCAAAAACGAAATTTTTTTTCTGTTTTGGTTTGCTAAGAAATGCCTAAAGAAGCTTTTGGATGTTAATTATCAGGAGCGATTTTAATATTCGTCTCAATTCAGGTACGTTTTATGTTTTATTTTTGAAATTTTGATTTTGATTTTGTCGTCGTAGAGGTATGTGATCGTGTGAAGCAAATCCTGCTGAAGCTTATCCTTCCGGTTGGCAGATCGGTGGTATCGTTATTTAATGGTTGGGATAACGAGAGTGATGACTCGGAGGAAAGCACCGAGTCTGATATTTCACGTCATTCCAACGAATGCACGCATTTGCGATGGAGCGAAATTTACCTGCTTTATCACAACGCTCATTTCAACGATGAAAGCGCTGCCAATACGGATATGGACGAGTGCTCGGCAAAGAGAAGTCTTCAAGTTATTAGAAAACATTAATCATTTTTGTACAAATATGTGTTCGTCTGTTGTCTTTTTTAATAAAATAAATTTATTGTACTAGAAAATAGCTTTTGGAATGGGTCATAACTTCTTACATATCTTTTGCGTAATTAGAATCATAGCTAACTTACTATCATAATCGTAATCTACATGTTGTGGCAGTGGCGATTGCCTATTTGGTACTGGACTCGGCGAACTGAACATCGGCGGCGGTGGAATCGGACCGATTTCCGATACTGGAATGGGTGGCTCTGGCAATTCGGACAGCATAAAGCCCCCCGGGCCGGAAACAGGCGGCGGAGGCAAGTGGTGTGGCTGTCTTTCTTGTGCGGGTGGCGTACTGCCTGGTGGCCCCTGAGATCCGTCTGTAACTAAATTAGATAATTACTACTTTAAAAAAAAAAATTTGAATTGATTTCATAGCTCAATTTAATTTAATAGAGTGGCAATAAAAGGAATTAAAACTGCTTTGTGACCCAGAGGGTTAAGGATTGCTAAATAAGAGGATTAAATTCAGCAGATGGAAATTGCAGGAATCCAATTGCTGAAAAGGTCGACTCCAAAACTTCAACCACAATAGCCTGAAAATCATGTCGCAATCCCAGAAGGATGGGTTTAGATATATTTGAGTTGTTGACGAAATAGAAGTATTACCCCTACTCTAAAAGCTAATTAATTAGCAAATTATCTCCTCCAACCTTAATAAGATTTATTCCAACGACGCTTTTTGAACCGTTGAGTGATACTCGATTTTTTGTCAAGCATTCGCAGAGATTACTCAAATTTGTCCCTGGTTTGAAGCAAATACGTTATTTAACGCTTGCGCATAACTTATTTCAAATTGGGCAGTGTATCTATCAGCACAGAAAGGACACTGACATCGATTCCTTTGATGTTGAATGAATTGCATTTCGATTTAAATTCAGCAATATTGAAAAAGAGATCCAAAGGCATAAAAAAAAAAAAACAATGATGTCACTGGAGTATCCCGCCGAAGCTGTTTTTTCTGCGTCTGTAAGGTGATGTCATCATTTAGTCATTTGGTGTTTCCCAATCGTGCCTACAACTTTCAATCTGTTCCAACAATGTTGACGATTTTACATGGATGAACATGTGCAGAAAGAAGTCGTGTACACGTACATGATCTGGTCAAATTTGTACCAAGTACCCACCGTGAGTTTCCAATTTATTGGAAAAGTTTTTCAGAGCTACCTGGCAGCTCGCCATGAACCGGAAACTTGGCGTGATCACACTAAACTTTATACCTAAATGGGATAAGCAAGATTACTTCTTCCTGAACTCCTCCTAAACGATTAGTTTCTCCTCTTTTGAATTAATCGTTAAAAAATGTATGCGATTGCAACATCAGGGACCCATGTCTACAAAATAGACGACGTGTTTACTAATTAACATCCTTATATCCAGTACAATTCCACGCTGATGATTTTTCACTCAGCCTTGGGAGTCTTCACCACCTTATTGAAAACTAACGAAGTTTAATTAGAGCACAATATTTCTTCTGTCCTAAGTGTTTACAAGGAGGAGTATTAATAAGATCAACTTTCCTGGGTAGCCTTAGAAAACATCTAAACCTTGGTAGTTTCAGTATCGTTGACTAAGCTGATGATTTGATAATCCTTATAAGAAATAAATGTATTAACGTAGTTCCTGACAAGATGCACTCAACCTATTTGATGGTTAGTGTAATGATGAATTATCTTTTTCTGCCAACCCCAAGAAGATGGGAATGATTCTTTTTAGTCGAATGAGTAACTTAGGCAATCTTAGATTAGAGAGCTTACGTATTTGGGCTTAATTGATTGTTTGTTATAGTGGATAGTTCACATGGAAAATAGAATATGTAAGGTCTGCGTCACTTTCGGCCAGTGCTAAAGATCTTATGATGCTGTGGTTTGGAGGACCAGAACTTTAAAATCATTTGCGACCACTACACTTAATATAACACAGAAATTGGTATACAAAAGCGTTGCGATCAACATCCACGGCGTCTATAGAAATGCTATTAATGTACTCCCTAGTAGGATGCATCTTAACTAATTTATTGTTGGTGTACTGAATTATCTTTTTCTAATAAGATGGGAATGTTTTTTTTTTACTTGAATGAGTAACTTAGGTAGTCTTAGATTAGAGAGAGCTTAAGTATTTGGGCTTAACGAGATAGATAATTGTTAGGGTTGCGTCACTTTCGGCTTGTGTTTAATTCGACTGAACCAAACTTATGATGCTTTGGTTTGGTGGCCAAAACTTTAAAATCAATCGGGACCAATTATTACAAAACGGAGACTGTATTTCACAAGATACGTTGTGATTAGCACCCACTATGGAAAACGTAGTAAATTTACCATCACTAAACCAGGTTATTAATGTGGATTATAATGATGTTAAAGCTAGATCTAAGATCCGTCTGCGAAAATAGTATTAAGTGTACCTTAAGTAATCACAGTATAGAATCATTACATGTAAAAGATTTTGTTAATTTGATTCAGGAGACATTACAATATTCGTTGCTTCCTTTTCTGGATCAGGTGTATGAAAGGATCAAAAAAAGATGATCAAAGAACTTTTAATGGTCGATTTAATGGTTATGATTTCGCTGAAAAAGTTGGGTTCTCTGAGGATGGTTTATGAGTAGAAGACAACGCAGTGAGAAGTGTCAAAAAACTATGTATGTATAAGCTACATAGATCTTAATGGGTTCAATTTCTGCTCAATGTAATTAGGATATCTCACGTTATTTTTATAAAAATCATAATAAAGAGTTTTATGGAAACTAAGAATTTTATACACTTTTAACGGTTTAACAGTTATTCGTTCAGTATTTCTTTATTAGTCGTAAAACTTTACTTTTTTATGGGTGTATACATAAAAATACAATAATGGTTCATACAAAGCCCATTTGTGGCTTTACACCAAAATTTTCGCACAATTCCTCATTTTTAGAGTGTGATTCACGTTGTCTATATGTGAAAGTAACAAAAAAAGAAATAAATTACACAAATAATCTCAACATGTTTAAATTTAATTCCCAGGATGTTTAAAATTTTCATTATTAAATATTTATGTGGGAATTACCTTTTTAATTTAATTTTTTAAGAATTTCTTTGAACCACTTATATTTAACTCTTTCTTAATTATATAGTCAAAAATTTTCCGTAAGCGAATAATATTAATCACCACATTAGCAACGTGCTAATGATAAATGTTATTACAAAAGCCAAAACCAACTGAGCATATTTACTTAATAGCAGAGGATTTAAATCAAATTGACATGTTTATACATGCGTCTGGCGCCAATATAAAAAGAGCAAATCTCGGCAACGCCTACACACATGTAATCCCTAAATTATGATAGAACAATAATTTTGTTTGGCACAGTTTCCTGACACGAAACAAGAATTTTAAAATTCTTTCTAAAACTCCGTTTAATAATAAAAATACGTTTTTTGTTAAACTTACAATGCTCGCTATGGTAACATAACAACCTTCTGGTGAGCTTTCCGGGTCCCAACGAGTTGGGTCTTTCCGGTTTCGGAATTCCTTCACAACCACTTTGCATCGTCGGCGATGGAGCGTCCCCGTTGGGCGACAGAGTACCATTTTGTGACGTACCATCAGTCTTATCCTTTTTCGGCTCTGCAACAAAAAAGAATCACTTTAAACCGGATGTACAATAAACATTTTACGCCCGCTATTTCGTTGGTAAAATCAATATATTCGCCGGCTTGCCTTTGAATAAGTAAATAGTAAAAATGAAAATCCAGCTACGCGAAATACGGATTCCAATGAATTATTCAAAAAACCCCGGAAGTTAAGTAAAGGTTTCGTTGTCGACAAGGATGTTTTTTCACGAACTCGTATTAAAAGTGAATAAATAAATTTTTACATTCACAAGATAACGTAAATTTAAATCAGATTTTAAACAGGTTTGTATAAAATACCTTTAAACCTTACATAATTAATCATGTACTTTGAATTTATCTTAAAAATGGAGCCGTGAATGAGATGAGATGAGATGAATCGACTAAGATGAATACAAGTACGCGTTTGGCTCACGTCCAAACATACACTTCGATGTTTCCTGTATAAATTCTCCAACGAAATCTAAGTTTTCTATCATCGTGGCACACCACGTGAGTATTCGCATATCTACGTAAATCTCGACGTTTCTTCTATAGCAAAACGAAAACATAGGGAAATCACGTAAAATATTTCTTTCTTTATCTAAACTTTACTATCGGGGGAATATTTTTAGATTTCGTACGTTGGAAAAAAAAAAAAAAAAGAAACAGGAATTGGATTTGGTCCAGAAGTTTACGGTCGCATTCTTCGTCGGTTTACGTTTTTTGGTGAAGGCGCCGACAGTTTCAGTATTTTTATATATTGTATTAAAACAGGTCATGATATAAATGTAAATCGTTGAAAATGTAGTAAAATTAAACGTTTTAATAGATTTTAGAAACATTTAAGTTAACAATTTATACTAGCATTAGAACTAACACTAGATCTAGAACTAGAAACATTCGGGTTTACCCGTACATCTCTTAAGACCTATGAATGTTTCTAGTTCTAGGTCTAGTGTTAGTTCCACTTTTAATTCAATAAAAATATACAACAATCTAGCACTGAATATCAAAACAAAACTAGAACTAACACTACCATTAGAACTAACACCAGACCTAGAACTAGAAACATTCGGGTTTAGCCGTACGTCTTTTAAGACGGCTAAACCCGAATGATTCTAGTTATAGGTCTAGTGTTAGTGCTAGTTTTAATTAATTGAAAAATATACAAAAATCTAACGCTGAATAACAACTAAAACAATAACTAATACTAGCATTAAAACTAACACTAGACCGAGAACGAGAAGGATTCGAAAGTTTCTAGCTCTAGATGTAGTGTTAGTTCTACTTTTCGTTTAATAAAAATATATTACTGCACTGAATAACAATTAAAACTAGAACTATCTAACAGTCCTTGAGTTCATCACATAGACAACTTGGGGAATACCCCGAGTTTATCTATGAACATGGAATAGACTAACTTGGTGAATAACCCGAGTTGGGTTCTCTCTATAAGCACTAACATTTATATTTAAATAGGCTAATGTATTACATAGATATTATTAATAGTATAACTTAAAAATATTTTGTTCGTTATATCCGAAGTTCATACTAACAACGTTCGTTATAACACGGTTTTATTGTAATAAAACTATTTAATTTTAATAGAGTATATTGATGTTTTTATTCTATTTTTATCGTTCCTGATTCAGTCCAGGTTCATGCTGGCGTATACACAAGGGCAACAGTATGTCGAAGTCCCATGCCTTGCATTTTTTCGGTGTATTATTTTTAGATGGGTTATTTGCGCATAACAAGCTACGTGGTTGCCGACAAAGCCATCATAATTTCACGTTCTAATAACCAAAAAGCTACCCCGAGATAAAAAGTGAACAAAAACCTTTGACTCCCTTTAATAACTTTTTTTGTTCGCATCGCAAGTATCGCAAGCAAAATCAACAAACTAAAAATAATTTTTGTTTGAAGATCGACACTGTATCATGATACTTTTTCAGTGTCAATGTTTTAACGTTGATGGATACGGTCATTTTATAAAGAGCTTTACTGTTTGTTATTATTCGAGAGTTTGAGTCAGAAGTTTTTTGGGTAAATTATTTGGCCCACCTCAAAAACCTACTTAGTGAACGAGTTAACTATATTTCGCTTAACCTTTGATAATGAAATAGAAATTTGTAACTATTTTAAAAATATTCGGTCTTGAAACTATAATTAGTACTTTTGTAAAAAGTTGCCAGATTTCGTAACTTTTAACGTTTTAAACAAAGTAAACTGATTTACAACCGTAAGCTAGTAAAACCGGCACTTTGTTAAAGGTAGTATTAACTTTGGCGTACCAGCCGGGCAAATAATTACTGTTTATCTTGTTAATTAATTTGAAATTTGGCTACGTAGCTAACCGGAACTTTTCTAACAAATTGCTGCGCTGCTATTAAATTAACCAGTAATTATATTACACTGCGAACGAAACTTTACATGAATTTATGGTCTTAGTCTGATCTAAAAAGTTTTCTTTAAGGTTATAACCATTAAATAGCGGCATAATCCAGACGTTTTTAGCTTCAACTTCAGCCATGAACGACTACAAACAATTAAGACTGCTGAGTAGAATGTAACAAATTTGTTTTAAAGTGTAGCACCACATCGACTTAGTTATAGCCCGTAAAATCGTTATCAGCAAGAAAGAGCCATTTTACATAACAAAGTACACAAAAACTTCAAAACCCTACAATTGGAAAACTACTCCAATAGCAGTTCCACATTTTTGAATAGCATATCCAGGCAGGATTGAGACAAAGAGTATAAGATAACTGTGAATTAACTGAAACAAGAGTTGCAGGAGAGCCTAAAAGCACAAATCAAGAAATTGAAGTCATTATCAGTGATTGTAGTACGATGGTAGTCGAGCGATTGAAGTTTTTTGAACTTTGAGTGCAAAAAGAAAAGAATGTGTTAAGTAGATTTAGTTATTCAGAAAGATAACGAGTTCTTCTACGTGAAAAAGTACAGAAGACCTTCAAGAGTCTAAAATTGAAAAACTATTATAACTACACTTTAATCATTCAGGCAGGACTGGGACAAATGGATAAGATAACTATGAAGATTGAAGTAATTAAAACAAGAGTTGCAGATGAGCCGAACAGCATAAATCAAGAAATTAAAGTCATTATGAAATTATGTGTTAAGTGGCAAAAGTGGTCCTTTTGCCTGCAGGCAAAGGTAATGCCACCGTCGATGTTGGTTAGAACGAATACGAGGCCAAGAAGAAAACTATTGGTTCCAGAAAACTACAGGATCATCAAAAGGATCCAATAGGAACGATAAAGAAGATTCCAGCAAGACCAAGGATGAACCAGGCAAAACTGGGCAATTAACTCATCCTAAATATTCAACATACTTTCTTGGATTCTTTCCATAAGGTATTGAAAAGCTATTGAGAGGTTATGCCAACACAATTTATATCTAGACTACTTTTAGATCAATTCTGATATAATTCACCATGATAGCTACAAATAAATTCTCTTTTTTTTGTAGCAAATTGAAGATAATAGAGTACAATCAAAATTTGTTTTTATTTAGACAAACATGTCCATGAATCACCCATTAAAATGGATTTAGTAAACCAATGACGGTAAATCATAAAAGCTCTATAAACCATTAGAGATTGCAAACAAGTTTTCGAACCCGACAAAAATACTGTTTTGACCATAAAACCCATAAATTCAAATCGCACGAAATACAGCACAATTTCGACGTGTACACATTGAAAAATGGATTTAGTAGAATTCGCATCATAGGAGAAAATCCCATTTCCATTGTTTCCCGAGAAGGTGGAAACAATTCAAAACGACCGAAAAGTTTTTAAGTGTATAGAGTTAGCTTACGAGGCTACATGCGAAAACTGAGAACTCGATCAAAAGCTTTACCCAAAAGTTTTTGTTGTTAGGGGTGAAAAGTTTCTTGTTTCTTTGTAGTTTAAGTTCTCGATCTGTCCAAAACAGTTTACGAAGATGTTCGAGCAATTGGATTCAACTTAAATAGATTAAAAGTTTTATTAAGAGAACTAATCCAACATAAAAACTTATCTTTAAAATTAAATGGGGGCTGACCTTGATTAAATATAATTACAATTAGAGTTATATTTATAGAAGGAATAGAAATAGAACACTTTTTTACTCACCAGTTGACATTATTAACAATTTGTTCGAAATGAATAAAAATTTAAAAATTCAATACTTTTATATTGGTATGTTTACATATGACTCATATTTATGTAAGTATTTGCTTTGTTATTGAATTTGTAAGCGAAACATGATTCATAATTAACCAATTATTAGTATGAAATAGATAGTTGTTTGTTGTATTGCGATTGATTAAACAAAGGAAGTTTAAATAGAATTAATTTAGTGGTAGTTTTTCTCACCAAAAAGATGATACTTTTTATCTGGAAGAAAAGCAGCTGGAGGTGTAATAGGAGCGGCATTGTCCCAATAGGGAACAACATCCGGTTGACATTGACCATAACCGGGAAGCTCGAGCTTGTGTTGTTGCTTTTCGCATCTTCGACGACGACGCCCACCCGGAGTGAACGTCTTCACCAGGAAACCAACCCCGCTCATGCGTACCAAATAATCACCTGACCAGAAAAAATCGCAACAACCCAAAGTTCACAAAAGTAATGTTTATTTCTCCTCTTTACAACTTTCAATCAAAACACCAACAATCAAAGATGATAGAAACCTGTCAAGATTGATTTTAATTATATTTTATCTTTTTAATTTACGTTGAGATTTTTTTGGTACCGTTTGCAACAACAGGTCGTCGCTGACTGATCCGGCTCGCGCCCGTTCGTAGCCGACGTCGAACGGTTGCGTGGGCGTCTACGCCGCGACGCCCTTTCGATCGTTACCATCCTGCAGCATCGGTGACGTCACCGCGCGCCGCTGGTTGATCCTCGTTTTGCAGATTACGAAAGCTCGCCGAGTTGGGGAAAACGCGCGATAGAGGTCGGTTTCGAACCGAAATGCCTTACATGCTTTGAGAGCTTTCAGTGTA